ATCAGTCTTCAGGATTTGTGAGAAATAAGGGCTCTCAGTAAAACCCTGAGACATTACTGTCCAGGTGAATTGTTTTCCTTCTCAAGTGAAGACAAAGAGGCGAGCTTCATCAACTGGAATACAAAAGAATGCACTGCATAAATCAATTGTAGTAAAGAATTTACTTCCAGTGGGATTGGATGTTAGTAGTATATGAGGGTTAGGAACAACAGAGTGTTGAGGGATAACAATATTGCTTGGAGGTCCTGGACAACCTCTACACTCAGCCCTTGGGTTTCCTCACAGGTAAAATAGGAGTGTTACAGGGGTTAATACAAGGGATAATGAGACCTTGATCCTTGTAATCCTCTATTAGGGTCTTTATACCTTGAAGGGCTTCTTTACTTACAAGGTATTGATTTATTCTGGGCAGAGGTCTTGAGGGATCTATTTGAATCTTGATGGGAGGTGCACTGTCAATTTTATCAATATCAGTTGGAGATTTTGCCCATAAGGTGGTAGCTGATTCAATAGGGGCAAATGGTCAGTGTTTCCAGAATTGGCTCTGGTACTGTCAGAGATGGAGCAAATAAAATATGTCAAAGGGTCATTTAATTCAATGTTTTGATGAGTACTATCAAATTCTAGAATTATTTCCCCCTTTTGAGAGAAAGAAATTCTGGCATGATACGTTTCCAAGAAGTTTTGGCCTAATATATGAGTAGGGATGGAGGAACTAAGGAGAAAAGGGGGTGTGTCTCTCAAAGGGCCTAAACAAAAGGGAACAGGTTCAGAGACAGGAACTGTTTGAGATTTATTAGATTTGTTATCCCACTATTGGAACTCTTTTGGCACTCTGAGGCAGGGGCTGCTTTACAGTCATGGGGTTGAGCACCAAGAGTGTAGCTCCAGTGTCAATTAGGACAGAAAAAGATTTGTTCCCAATCTGGAGAAGTGTTTCTCCAAGCCAATTAAGAGAGAGGATTGGGAAGAGCCCCTGTAGTTCCTCAGAGCCCCATTATTGAGAATTTGGAGGACATTGGAAAGGCTAGTTAGAGGGCTGAAGGTGCCTGAAATACTTAAATTTGCAACAACCTCTTTTCCAATGTCCTGGCTCTTTGCAATAGTAACAGAAACTAGAATTGTGGTTTCATTTAGGGACCTTCATTTGCTGGAGTTGAAGATTAAGAATTTTAGTGTTCTTTCTTTTAGGTGTCTCATCGAGGGTACAAGAGAGCTAGTGTGCCGGATTAACTAAATCTGAAGTGGACATAGTCTCCCATTCCATCCTGGTCCTTTTTATTACAAGGGAAATGTCCCAGTTCAGCCCATTAATAAACGTAGAGTTAAAAACCACCCAGCTGGAACCAACATCTGAAGGAAGACCAGGATTTTCTCTAAAAACAATCTGTAGTCGATTGTAATAGTCATGAACGAGTTCATCAGGTTTTTGTGCACAAGACTGAATTTTATTCCAATCAACAGGCTTTAGGAAAGCTCTAGAAATTGCCTGATGAAGTTGCCCAGCAATTGCCTAAGCCTGATCATATAACAGGTCAGCGGTCGGTCTCCCAGTTGTAATCCTAGAGACCTTTTAGGATTTTCCCAGTTTGTGGTTCTCATTCGATGCTGGGCCTGGCCATCACTGACAAGCATATGAACTAGCTGACATAAGTCAGAAAAACCAGGCTGATAAGTTTGAATGACTATAATAAATTCCCCAGCAAATCTGTGAGGATCTTTGGTTACTTTGGGAAAATCTTTGGCTATCGCCCACAGTTCAGCTTTAGTCCAGGGAGTATAAGAAATTAAAGGTTTAGCCTTTGGATCCTCAGAAGGCTTGATTTTAAAGGGACAGGTTCTGATAGGTTCAGAGGAAGAGGGAGTGGGGAGAGGTTCTCGGAAAGGGGAAAGTTTGGCAAGAGAGTTAGTATAGGGGAACTGAGCGTATAGAAGAGATGTAGATGGTATAGAAGGGAAGGAGGAAGATGGTGCCAGAGATGGGGCCTGAGCATGAGGAGCCAGGGGAGAAGAACATGATGCCATCAGAGGCAGAGCCTAAGACAAGCTGGGGAAGAGGAAAATGAAGCTTTGGAAGCCATATTATCTTTCTTTAATTGTTTATTTGCCTCAGTTAATCTTAAAATTTCATTTTGTAAAGAGGCAATTTTAGACTCCTGATAATGTTTGGAAGCCTCAAAATACCAATCAAAATAAGCTCCATTCAGTTTTGGAAATTTCAGAGCTATGGTTGTCCAATCAGTTTTAAGAAAAGTAAGTTTGGGAAGTTCAAAAGTTCCCCATAGTGGCCACTGGTGTTCTAAATGACCTTTGCTTAAGTCAGTCCATTTAGTTAGAAATGCGCATGAGGAACAACCATGGTTTTTAAACATAAAATCGGCTAGGGTCCCTGTAGTGGGGGTGCCCTTAAAATATTTAGATAACTGGGATCCCATTTCTCATAGGCTTTTCTCTAGAGTAAAATCATAATTTTCAAACAGCCTAAACAGCTCAAACAGCTTGCAACTTAAACAGCTTGAACAGCTCAAACACCCTGCAGGCTTAATACCAGCACAGTTCTAAGGGGATGGCCTAATCCTGAAGGAGTCAAGCTGAAGGCTGAACAGCACACTAGAACACAATAGAACAGCCTGGTTCTGAAGGGGTGGGGCCATAGGCTGAATGGCACAGTTCCAATGAAGAGGAATTAGGCCAAAAGCTGAATGGCACAGTTTCAATGAAACAGTCTGATTTCAGACGAATTGGACAGAAGGCTGAGCAGCACAGTTGCAATGGAACAGCATGATTCAGAAGAGTCAGGACGAAGTGCCAACCAAGTACTCACAGATAACACAAAGCCTTAACCAAAAAAGGATGAAGCCTTAAAATAGATCCCAAATAGAGCCTGGAGAGCTTTAAAATGCAAAGAGAGTGGAAGCTTGGATCCAGGAGAAAGATTTCCCCTCAACCTCCAGGGTCAGTGAGCAAAGCAGTGAGCTCAATATGGGTGCCAACACCTGTTTGCCCACCAGCCTCGAAGTTGTTGGTGGTCTTCTCTGGATCCCATACAGGCCACCAAATGTTGGCCTAAAACAAATAGCCAGTTATTTCTCCAGCAAAAATGGGTTTATCCCAGATCAACAAAGAATTGCAATTTGAGTCCTGCAACCATGGCAAGCCATGTGCAAGTTCTGAGCAACAAGGGGAGGAGAAACTTTCATAGAGGGGAAAAGGAAGTTGAGAGGACTATTATAAACAAAGAGTCCATTGGAGAAATTGAGAGTTCAAAGTATAGTGGCTTTTCATTGGCTGAGTTGTGACAGTCTCTCATTGGCTGAGTTCTTACCAGGCAAGAAGAGGAAGTCTTTCTTCTTCCTGTTGGGCTCTGCCATCATCATAGGACATGAGCGCTCCCCCTTCTGGCCTCCCGAATCCATTTTAAGTGAGGTTTCTGTTTATTAATTTTCACAGGACATACTGACTTTGAGGTGACTATGGGATATCCAAGTGGCGATATTCAGTGAGAAGTTGAATATAATGTTTTGGAGCTTAGGAGAGATTTCTAAGATATAGATGTAGATGTAAGAAGTGTTGGGCTATTAACAAGATCAATTAGACAAAATGTGTAGCTTGAAAAGAGAATATGCCTAAGGACACAGCCCTAGGGAAAAACTTCTTTTATGGGATCAGCAGAGGGAGAAGTGTCTGTGAGATAAACGGAATCAATGAACAGGCACCGATAACAGGCGAAGCCAATGGGTAGGTTCTGAAGCATAACTTATGAAGACCTCTTGGGGCAATGGTAGATCTAAGAAGTAAAACTCTTAGAATGGCAAAGAGCAGCTATGTTCAGCCATTGAAGGCAGGTGTTTGGAAAGCTAGGCTAACAAACTTGGGGGGAAAATGCTCAAAAATGTGACTCAGGTAAAAAAACATGAGTAACTAAAGAAACAGATTCTCCATTTCTTTATCTATAAAGTGAGGAGTTTCCGGCCGGCTCAGTGGCGCAAGCGGTTAAGTGCGCACGCTCCGCTGCGGCAGCCCAGGGTTCCCCCGTTAGGATCCCGGGGGCGCACCAACGCACAGCTTGTCAGGCTATGCTGTGGCAGGCGTCCCATATAAAGCGGAGGTGGATGGGCATGGATGTCAGCCCAGGGCCTGTCTTCCTCAGCAAAAAGAGGAGGATTGGCAGATGTTCGCTCAGGGCCAATCTTCCTCACACACACAAAAAATAAATGTAAAAAAAATAAAAAATATAAAGTGAGGAGTTTCAATTAGGTGAACACCCTTTCCAGTTCTAAAATTCTGATCCTATGAGCTGGCATTGAAGAGTGGGTAGGACTTGGAATTCCATGAACAGTAACCCTTTCTTCTGCTCTCGTGCCCCTCCAGATCCCCCATCACCACCACACCATCCACATAGTTCCCACAGAAGCTGAAATCTCTGTCTAAAATTGACTTGTTGAGGGGTGGGCACCTGACTTAGCTAGGCCAATAAGAGACCTTCCTCAGGATTTTGAGATTGGCAATGAGAAAAAGAAGACAGCTTTTCTCTGGGTGATGGAAGCTGAATATCTGTAAAATCTGGAGCTGATGGTAAGTGTGATTTGCATTGAATTGTTAAAAAAAAAAAAAAAGCCAGAATGAAGAAGACACAAGAAGCATAGGTGAGTGATGGAGAGAAAACTGCCTGGGCTTTCCCAAGTGCTTCAGATCCTGGTCCCAGTCCACTGTTAGAATGTATCACAACCCTCGAATTACATGAGATAGCCCTATATCCCTCTAATAATACCCCTCTTTGAGACCTAAATAGTCCCAGTCTATTTCTGCTTTTGGCAACCTAAAGAGTCCCAACGAATATACTGGACTTGGTCAGAGCCCATATGGGAAGGAGAAAAGTAAATGGGAGATGAAGCTATAAGGTAGGACTAGATATAATAGAGGATCTTAAGTGCCAAGCTTTGGTTTATAACTGGAGTAGAGGTTCTGGAGGTGGAGATGAGGGGAAACCATCAACATTTCACAGAATCACTAAAACTTTAATAAAACTTTACCAGACTGCAAAATGAACACATACAAAATCGTTGTGGTCCTGACCTTGGTGCTCAGCTTTCACAACATAATAAGCAATGTTAACTAATTAATGCTCTCATTCATTCATTAATGTTTATTAATTAGGTCATGTCCTACCTCTTTTCTGTCTCCCTCCGTGTGTTAACTATAACTCACTAATATAACCATCCCGGAAAATGCTACATGCGGTCATTTGATCACCCAAGGTAGACCCTGCCATCTTAAGCACCCTGACTCAATTGTCAGTTTTCCTCCATTCCAATCAGAGTTGCAGCCAAGATTATATTTGCTAAGGCAGGTGGATCAGTCTCTTTAAGGGAACTCTCATTCATCAGACAGCTCCAGCCTCAGAAGTCAGGGACTGGAGCAGTCGGTGGAGAGATGTCTACTCCTTTTCCAGCTGAGGCCTTGGGGGCTTGGCTGCTATTTGGTAACATGCAGATTCCTCTCTGGCTTCAGAGATGACAAGTGCTGCTCTTTCTGGGGATGCGGCTCAGCCGGTACTTCTAGGCTGTTATTGAGACAAGCTGATACTTCTTTGATGGCTGACACAGCTGTTGGTCCAGGAGATGCTTCAGCACCAGATATGGCTCTGATAGTCCTCTATCTTGCTGGTGGGAAAATAAATTGGTCCAACCTCTATGAAGGTCAATTTGGCAATATCCATCATACACATGCACATACTCTCCAGCACACAAATTCCAGTTCTAGGAATTTACCCTGTATATATACCTACATGTGTGAGAAATGAAAATGTATAAGACTATTCATTGCAACATTATATAAACAAAAGATTGAAAATCCAAAAGTCCATCCATTGTGAACTGGATAAATAAAGTACATTCAAGCCATAGAATACTATGCAGCTGTAAAAAAGAATGAGTAGGCACTTTATCTACGGATGTGGAATGACCTCCATGATATACGGTTAATAAAAGTAATGTGCAGATGTGTTTGTATAGGAGGCTGTCATTTTTGCTTAAAAAGAAAAACTGTATATTTGTATTCTCTTGGATATAAACAGAAAAATCTCTGCAAGGGTACACAAAAAAATTAGTTATAAAAAATGGTTGCCTCTAGGTATAAATTCGTGGTGAGGGATGGAGGAAGGAGGCTTTTCACTTATACAACTGTTTGTGCCTTTTGAACTTTATACCACGTGAAAGTTTTCCCCATTAAAAAAAATAAAATTTTAATTAAAAAAATAGGGGTGGTGATATTTTAAACAGTAGTTCCCAAATGCTGGTCTGTAAATCAGTGAACACCCATGAAGAATAATTTATTAACCTACCATGAAATCAGAAAAATAATAATAACGTGTGGATTTTCCATATTGCTGAATTTCATTTGAAAGACCATCCTTTATTCTCAAGTACTTTGTATGGAGGTGTTAGTAGATAGTAGCTATCAATGTAGTGTTTATTTACACAATGGGCAAAATTAAAAGTTGGCAACATTATATCAATTCATCAAATTTACAGTCCTGAAATTTAAAAGCATAGAATCATTGATTTAGACTTGGTTTTTGTTTTTATGAATAATCTGTTTTTACACATTATTTCGGAAGGCATTCCTCCTGTGTATTTCATGGTGTCGAGTAAGTGATGAGTTATAGCTGAAGGCTTTTCCACATTCATTACATTCATAAGGTTTTTCTCCAGTGTGATGTCTCTGATGTTTCTTAAAGGATGAATCATGCCTGTAGGCTTTTCCACAGCGGTTGCATTCATATGCTTTCACTCCTGTATGAACAGTTTTATGGTTGCTGAGGTGTATCCTCTGCCTAAAGGCTTTCCCACATTCCTTACATTTGTAGGGTCTCTCCCCAGTATGGATTCTCTGGTGATGCGTTAGATATGCTCTATGACTAAAGGTTTTACAACATGCAGTGCATGCATAGGGTTTCTCCCCAGTATGAATTCTTATATGTTCACTAAGGTGTCTAATCTGTCGAAAGGTTTTCCCACATTCATTGCACGTAAAGGGTTTCTCTCCAGAATGAGTTCTCAAATGTTGGATCAAGCTAATGTTCTGGCTGAAAGCTTTCTGACATTTATCACATACATAAGGTTTCTCCCCAGTGTGAGTTCTATGATGCTGATTAAGAGATGAGCGATGTCTGAAGGTTTTGCCACATTCTTCACATTCAAAGGGTTTCTCACCAGTATGGATTCTCTGGTGTGTAGTAAGGGATGCGCTTTGACTAAAGGCCCTTCCACATTCCTTACATCTGAAAGGTTTCTCACCAGTATGAATTCTCATGTGTTCAGTGAGGTGAATGGGTTGTTTGAAGATTTTTTCACATATAGTACATTCATAGGTCTTTGTTCTTATGTAACTTGGTGGATGATTAATCAAATCTAATTTGTATTTGTTCCTCTTTCTAAGTGTGTCACATTTACGGTGCCTCTGTTTTATAACATTTGAACTCACAATGTTTTCCCCAAATTTGTTAGTTTCTTGGCCTCTCTTCTTGTGGATCGAGATGGCTTGTATCACATCTCTTCCATGGGTTTCCTGGTGCCTTTCTAACTCGTCATCATATTTGGAGACTTTTCTCAATGTGGAATAAATTACATCATCCCTCATGAACCTTTCCATCATAATGCCATGATATAACTGTTCCTGTAAAATGTCATTCTTTGCAGTTGACATATTGGTTTCTGTTTTACTCTTCAAGTCTGAAAGAAATGGAAAAAATGCAAATAACTCATATTCATTATCCTTTGAAAAGTCAATTATTCTAGTGGGTATGGAATAGAGATGTAGATAATAATACATATCAATTGCATGAGATTTTTATTATATTTAAATATGGTTATGCAGCCCAGAGAGGTAATGGGAAATTAAGAAACAGTAAACATGGTAAAAGTGTGATTTTATATGTAGAGAAAATTTGAGCATTTTAGTCCTGCTCTTTCTCATAATACTAAATGATGAAATTTCAGATCTATGTCTTAATAATATGTCTTTTTAATCGACAACTATTCTTGGAAAACAATCTCAGAAAGATAAAAAGATGTCCCTCTCCTCACTCCAGCAGTAGAAAGAGAGACACTAGTTCAAAAAATAAGGTTCAAACTAAGAACATTCACAAGAACATTAAGCTGTCTTTTATTGAAACTTGTATTAATATTTATACATTGTTGTTTCCTGTGGTTATTAATCTGTCCCTGGAAGTGTTATTTATGCAAAGGAGACTTGTAAAAAACCCAGACTGCTACGTTGCTACTATTGCTATGTTCTATGAAAATATCCTTTAACCTTTAAAATTCTGACAGGTTTTCTTACTTGATAATTTGTTGTACCCATGACTAATATTTCAACTGACAGCTCTGTATTCCTGAGAGGTATAACTTCTTGTAGGATTTTTTGGTCAACACAAAAGGATCATTAGCACTTTGAAATTCCAAATGAATAGAGGCAATAATAGAGTCTATGTTCTCCAGGCCCCTGATTCTGGTCATGAGTAAGGGAGAAGGAAGAGAAGAAGATAGGGAAAGAGAGAAGAAGCCATCTGTGTCCCCCTTCCCAATTCAATATCAAAGCCTGAAGCAGGCCCACGCTCAAAGAGAAGATTTAACTTTGAACGAAGTTGGCAGGTTTTATTATTGCACTGACCTAAACATTTTACTAAAATCAGACTGTTATTATTATTTAAAGGGACTGGGCCATCTATGGGACCTCTTCAAGATTTCATCCAGAGGCAGGGAGAGAACATTCATGGTAACTTTTATTTATTATTTTCATTATTATAAGTTGAAAAAGAGAAAACCCAGGAGAATGTACAAACAAATGATGGGAATTAATAACAGAGTGAAACAAGGTGGCTGACTATAAGATCAATATACAACACCAATTGTGTTATTACACAACAGCAACAAACAGAAAATAATTTAAAAATAATAATTTGAAAAAATAATTAAAAAAAATATACCATCTACAATAGCAACAAACTGTAAGGTCTTCAAGATGAATCTAGCAAGAGATGCAATATGTATGAGACCTTTATGGGAAAAATCCTAAAACTTTTTTGAAAAAAAAATTAGGAAATATCAATAAATGGAGTAATATACCATGTTCTGGGATAATAGGAACTCAATATCATAATATTAATTCCCCCCAAAATTGATCTATAAATTCAATTCTATTCCAATCAAAATACCACCAGAGTATTTGTGTGTGTGTGTGTGTGTGTGTGTAATCTGATGCGCTCATTATATGATTCATATGGAAAAACAAGGGGCTAGGAATAGCCAGGACAATTTTGAAGAACACGGTGGGAGAACTACCTCTACCAGATATTAAGTTTCACTACGAAACACAGTAATTAAGATAGCCTGGTATTAGAGTGGGGATTAAAAAAAATAGAAAAGTGGAACAGAATAGAGAGGGCCCAGAAACAGACCCAAGCATATAAGAAAACTTGACAGGTGACAGAGGGGAATTAACTATTAAACAAATGGTTCCTGGGCTGATTATCCACATAGAAAAAGTTAAACTAGATCCTCACCTCACACTACACGTAAAATACATTCCAGGTAAATTAAACCTAAATATGAAAAGCAAAATTTTTAAAATATAGGATAACAATATTATATATATATTTTTTTCTGTAAATCAACAGGAAAAAAGATAAGCAATAATAGAACAATTGGCAAAGGATATAAACAAGTAATTTATAGAAGAGGAATCCTAGACAGATGGTCGATAAACATGAAAAATACTCTCCCTCTCACCAGTAATCAGGAAAATAAAAGAAACAAGATACCATATTCACTCACTGAATTTATGAAAATTTTAAAGTTTGACAATGCCAAGTGTTAACAAAGATGCTGAGTTCTGGAAACTCCTAACACCTGTTGATGGGAGTACAAATTGGTACAACTGCTTTGAAGAGCAATTCGGTAATACTCAGCAAAACGAAGGTGCATATACTCCATGATCCACAAATTTTGCTTCTACCAACTATCTCAGAGAAACACTTACATACGTACACAAGAAGATATATACATGAAGATTTACTGCAGCATCTTGTAACCCCTAAATTTAGAAACAGTATAAATGTCTATAACAGGAAAATGGAGAAATAAATTGTGGTTTATTAATTCAACAGAAACGAGTGAACTAGAACAACATGGATAAATATCAATAGTGTTGAATGAGAAAAGCAAGTGGAAAAAGTATAAATACCATTTTTTAAAGAATAAGAACATGCAAAACAATGCTATATATTGTTTGGGGATATACACATGTAATAAAAGTATGAAAACACAAGGGAATAATAATATTTAAACTCAGAAGAGTTGGTTATTTCCAAAGGTAGGAGGGGGACAGCAGCGCTTCAACTCTTTTATTTCTTAATCTATGTGGAACCTACATAGAAATTTGTTATAATGTTCTCTATGCCTTTCTGACTGTCTAAAATATTTTATAATAAAAGCCAAGTTTAAGGAGATTGTTAAAGGCCACTGGATTTGGTGAGAAGGAATCCTCTAATTTCTCTTGCAGGAGTTTTTGTAAAGTAGTTGTTACAAAAAATTAAGATACGTGAGTTAAAAAGAGAGCGATATTTGGTAGAAGCTGGGATTGTAAAATGAAATTGGTGAAAAGTGGAAATAGAATGCAACAAAGAAAATTAAAGCTTTATAGAATGCAAGGAGAGTCCTAAAAAAAGACCTGTTTTCTGTGAGGAGAGACCCCATACATATGACTGCTCAGGGAAAGGAGCTTCCAAGTGGCAGAATTTAGGATACTGAAGAAAGATGGAAAATCAAGTTTAACCTTAAAAAAGATAAGACTTCTCTTCCCTCCAACTCCAGAGAGACTTTTGCAAGGTCAAGTGAAGAAAAGGGGTGACAGAGGGAGGGGTGAAATTGGGGTTAGTTGATGCCCTGTCCCGTGGCCTCAGCCTTCCCCATGACCTGGGAAGACTTTGGGCGTGCATATTAAAAGGTACCATCTCCCCTGGTCTCACCTGAACTGGGATCTCCTGGGCCTTCTTTCTCTGTTATCCATGGCTCTTCTCCTTTCTCCAACTGGGAAATCACACTAGGTTTGGAGAGTTGATATCCTGCTTGTAGAGTTAAAAAAGAGTATGAATGCTTATGTTGCAATCTAAGAACCATCCCCAGAATTTAGTTCCAGTCCTCTGGTATTTAGGGACTCTGAAATGGAAAAGCCACCACAGCATGTCTTTCTACTTGAGCTCTACAAAGAAAAATTGTTCCCCCAAGGAAGGAGAATCAGATATGCCCTGGCTTGATTTTAAAAGGAATGAGACATCTCTAATATAGAACCCAAGGCCAAGCTCCAGGGAATCCACAACGTTTAATAATTTAGAAATAATGACTCTCCCGTAATGGGCAGGTTTCTTGATGTATGCTTAGCCCATCCTTACCCACTGAGACCAGGTTCCCATAGTTCTCCAGCATCACCTCCCGGTACAGACTCCGGTGAGCAGGGGCCAGTTGCCCCCACTCCTCCTGGGTGAAGTCCACAGATATGTCCTTGAAGGTCAACAATTCCTAGAATATCAAATATGATCCTTTTCAGCCAGAGACCACTTCCATGAAGGTCCAACGAATTCTGACAGTATTCAAAGTTCTGAGAGATTCTAAACCAGTTTTACTGGGAGCCTCCTCTGGATCTGTTTGGCGATTCTCTGGAGATTACTATCAATAATTAAATACATAGAAGGAAAGATGGTCATAAGTGCCTTAGGAAAAAAATTAAGCAGGATAAGGGGAAGGGAGAGTCATACTGAGGGTAGGGATGATCTTCTATGCAGGGTGGCTGGGGAAGGCCTCTCTAAAAGGGTGATATTTGACCAGAGACATGAATTCAGTGAGGAAGAGCCATGTGGAGATCTGAGGGGAGAGTATTCCAGGCAGATACAAAGAACATTAAGGCGACAGCATCCTTGGCTTGTCTGAGGAACAGGAAGGCTGGAGGCAGATTAATGAAGGGGAGAGTGGAAGAAGATAATATCAGGGAGGTTGGGGCAGGAGAGAGAGAGAGGTTTTTAACATTTCTTGTACATTTTATAGTACTACAAGAACAATGCATTTTTGCTGAGCTTAAATTCTGGGGCCCTGCTGGAGTTGAATGCAAAGATGAACAAAACTGCATGGAACTGTAGTCTAACCCCTTCCTGGCTCAAATACTGAAAATATAAAAAAGATCAGCCCCTCAGCAGTGGTGGCATGGGGTAGCTGGGTTAATCAGAAGTAAACTCAATCATATTAAAGCTGTATTTCACCCAGAGCTCAGCCACAGCTCTGGGAGGAATATGAATAATCCACCCTTCACCTTAACCACCAAACAGAGGAAAAGGGCTTAGAGTCTCTAGGAAATAAACAAAACAAAACAAAACAAACAAACAAACTATGTATATACTTATATATATGCACACTTCATCCTCCACTGTTCTTTTATACACAATATTGGAACTACGATAAAAAAATATTAGACGTGAAGAAGGAGAAAAATCTGACCTATAATCAAGATTAAAAAAATCCATAGAAGCAGATCCATAGGTCATTGGAATTAGCAGACAAGAAACTTAAAGCAACTATTAAAATATATGTTAAAGAATTTACAATAAAATATGGATAGAATACATGAAGACATGGGGGTAATTGAGGAGAGAAAGAAACACTAAAAAAGAACTAAAAAAAAATTCTACAACTGAAAAATACAATATCTGAAAAATCCATTGGATGAGCTTAACAGCAGATTGGACCCTGATGAAGACAAGATCAGTGAAACTTAAGGCAGGTCCATAGATATTATTCAAACTGAAGCACCAAGAGAAAAAAAGAAAATCTCAGATAATACCAAATAGTCTAATATAGAAGGAGATGAGAGAATAGGCATAAAAATATATTTGAAGAAATAAAGGCTGAAAATTTTCCAAATTTGATGTAAAAAAACTCAAGCCACAGATCCAAAAAGCTCAGAAAACCCCAAAAAGAATAAATTTGAAGAAAACCACACTTATGCACATCATAGTAAAACACTGAAGAGTAAAGATAAAAGGGAAGATTGTAAAAGTAGCCAAAAGAAGGTAGATAAGAAGGAACAAAAAAAACAAGGAAGAAAAGGTGGTATAAAAAATAACAAGCAGACACATCACACGTAAGGAAAGAATAAGAATAGCAGCTGACCTCTCATCTGAAATAATATAAGCTAAAAGATAATGGACCATCTTTAAAGTGCTTAAAAGAAATAGTGGTCAACCTAGAATTCTGTCTCCACTAAAAGATCCTCAAATAGGAAGACAATACAGAGACATCTGTAGATCAACAAAAGCTGTGAGAATTTGTCATCAGAACACTCATGCTACAAGAAATGCTAAATGACATTCTTAAGCTGAAGGGAAATGATACCAGATAGAACTTGGAACTAAAGGAAGGAATGAAGAGTGCCTGAATCAGCAAATAGGTGGGCAAATATGAAGCACTCATTTTTTCCCCTTTTCTTAATTTTTTATGAGATAATTTATTGTTAAAAGCAAAAATAAAAACAATGTATTGTAGAGTTTACAACATGCCAAGTGAAATGTATGATGACAATACACAAGAATGGGAAAGAGTAAACGGAAATATAAGGCTTTCATATGAAACAGTATGATAATTCAACTGTGATATGTTAAAAATGCATATGTTAATGGCTAGAGAAACCACTAAAAACAAATCAAGGAAGCATAGCTAAAAAGTCATTAGAGGATATAAAATGGAATACTAAAAAGCTATGCAATCCAAAAGAAGGCAGGGGAGGAGGAATGAAGAAACAAAGAATAGATGGAACAAACAGCAAACAAGAACAAGAATATGCACTTAAATCCCAACATATCAATGATTATGTTAACTGTAAATGGACTAAACAAGCAAGACCCAGCTATATTTAAGAAAGTCACACTTTGGGGCCGGCCTGGTGGCGCAAGCAGTTGAGTGCGCGTGCTCCGCTTCAGTGGCCCGGGGTTCTCACAGGTTTGGATCCCCGGTGCACACTGGCGCACCACTTGTCAAGCCATGCTGTAGCGGCGTCCCACATAAACTAGAGGAAGACGGGCACGGATATTAGCTCAGGGCCAACCTTCCTCAGCAAAAAAAAAAGAGGAGGATTGGCATCAGATGTTAGCTGAGGGCTGAGCTTCCAAAAAAAAAAAAAAAAAAAAAAAGGTCACACTTTAAATATAAAGACACAGATAGGTTAAAAGTAAAAGAATGGAAAAGGCTATACCATACAAACAATAATGAAAAGAACACTGGAGGAGCAATATTAAATCAGGCAAAGTAGACTTAGGAAAAGGAATATTACTAGGCATAAAGAGAGACATTTCATTACGATAAAGGGTCAGTTCATCAAGAAGACAACAATCCTATGTGTTTATGCATCTGAAAATAGAACTTTAAAATAAATAAGACAGAATTGACAGAACTAAATAGAGATTTAGACAAAACACAATAATTAGAGATTTTAACATTCCTCTCTCAGTAATTGATACAAGTACACAAAAATTCATCAAGGATCTAGATTTGAACAACCTATCAACCCACTTAACCTAATTGACCTTTACAGAACACTATACCTTACAACTGCAGAATATACATTCTTTTTTTAACTAAATTTTTTATTTTGAGATAACTGTAGATTTACATGCAGTTGTAAGAAATAATACAGAGATCCCAGGTACTCTCTGCTGGGGGCAAAGCAGAGTTCTGATTGGAAAGGGGCATGAGGGAACTTTCTGGGATGGAGGAAATATTCTATATCTGGATTTGGTTACATGGTGTATACATATGTCAAAACAGAACTGTATGCTTTCTGAAGTGTATTTTCCTATATGCAAATTATACCTTAATTTAAAAACATTTAATCTTTTCCCAGTGCTGAGAATCCCATCCATTTTTGATAAATGGCAGGAAGTGAGGAATTCCAGATAAGTGGAATGCAGAGATAACTCTAAATAGACTATTATTACTTTTATATTATTGTAAATAACTCTGGAGTGCATTTCAATCCTAGAAGGCATTAGCATCTGAATTAGCTGAGGAAACTGAGATTGTAAATGGCTAAAAAAATTGCCCCAGATCACGGAGCAAGTAAATACAAGAGATAACTGAAATCCTGTACCAGCTAATTTCAGAACTCAAGTTCTTTTCACTTAAAACGCTTCTGTCTCCAAATAACATCTCCTCTTTAAGAGTCTTCCTTTCTCATTTATTCTACAATTTTCCTTCTGTTTCACCTTTGCTTCCACCAGGTGGTGAGGACACCATTTCCAACACCCTGCTGTACCTGCCCAGCCTGTCTAATGTGTGCACTGTGTTGCCTGACCATCTCTTCTCCACTCACTTCTCCTTCGCAGGGGCCTCTGCTCTCAATACCATACTAAGGGTCACCTCACAAAGTTCACCAGTGATATGTGTACATCATTAACAATGTCAGAACTTTCTTCTCAGAAAGTTTGTTCTGGAGTATAAAATACTCCAAAAAATTGAAGTTTATCTTAGAGCCCAAGTGTATCTGTTGGTTTTTAGGGGCTAGAATTATATCACTCATTTTGCTTTCTCTACAGAAATTGGCACAATGTTAGATCTAGAGGTTGGTCAGAAACAAGAGTTACAAAAATTGGAATGATACAGAGAAGATTAGCATGGCCCCTGAGTAAGGATGACACGCAAATTTGTGAAGTGTTCCATATTTTTTATAATATGTCAATTATATCTCAATTAAAAAAAGAAAGAAACAAGAGTTACAGGGAGGGAGGCCACAATGAGTAGGGAAGTTGCCACCACTGTGGCCCAGTTTTCTGTATAAGAACAACTTGCACTGAGCTCCCTAGGCTGAATTTGTTACGCTCAACACCCTCCTCTTAAAAAAAAAAGGCAAGTTATAGCCTTAAAAACCAATAAGCATGTCAATAAAATGAGAGGGAACTCCAACCCACCTGGGATTCTGCTGTTGGGGGCCCAGAGGTCACTTCATCCTTTAAACTTTGTTGCTGGGTCTCATCAGCATCCTGAGACAGCACAGCTGGGGAAGGAAAAGAGCCGTGAGGTTTGCATCTCCCCAAATCCTCCCAATAGAAAAACTGCCTGCAGACCTGCTGAATGTGTCTCCTCTCTCAGTACACTCACAAACAGGGATATTTAGAGCAACCAAAGAACAACACAAAGTCTCCTTAATGATAATCTGCAGTGCACTGCTTCAGGCATTAATATTTCCCAATGGTTAATGCTGGTCCAAAAGCACAGATCTACCAGGCCTCTCCTTTGTTCAAAGGTTCAAGATAAAGAAAAATCCAAACACCTCCCCATGGACTTCAAGACAGTCTCAGCATTGGTTTCCTCTAACAACTGTCCCCTTCATATGTGGGACACATACACCCATCACATTCTTTACTCTCAGTTAGACTAGAATATTCTCTGTGCTGCGAACTACTCTTCAAGGTACCTATTTTTGCATCCTTTCCCCAAATCTTCTTTAAAAAACTTAGACATCCTTCAAGGCCCAATTCAATGCCATCTGCTCTGTGAAAATTTCTCAGATAAGTACAATCAGAAGAATGTTTCCCATCTCTTGTATTCCCAAAGAACCTCACCATAGCACTTTCTTAGGCTACCTTCTATTATTGTGATCTGGGTACACGTCTATCTCCATCAGTTAGTAATTAGCATTAGAGATCATTATCCATTTTTCCATCTGTCAAGACGCTTAGTGGGCTGGCCCGGTGGCACAGCGGTTAACTGTGCGTGCTCCGCTGCAGCGGCCCGGGGTTCGCGGGTTCGGATCCCAGGCACGCACCAACGCACCGCTTGTCAAGCCATGCTGTGGCGGTGTCCCATATAAAGTGGAGGAAGATGGGCACGGATGTTAGCCCAGGGCCAATCTTCCTCAGCAAAAAGAGGACGATTGGCAACAGATGTTAGCTCAGGGCTAATCTTCCTCACACACACACACAAAAAAGATGCTTAGCAAAGTCCCTGCCTGACACACAATAAATACTGGCTGAATTTGAAGTGTTAAAGGCATTTACCAACAGACCACACGAGACACATAAATTCCTCTGTCTACCCATCTATCCTGACCAGACCACTAAATAATGTGTAATCTTGGACATGTTTCCCACTGAACCCATACATTTCAAGGTAAAATGAGAGTTAATCAAGCACATCATTCCTTCCTCTCAACAAAAGATGAAAAGAAAGTACTGATACTTGTGAAAAATATTGGCTTAGGGCTAAAATGACTGAAACTTGTGAAGGAAAACCATTGGAGGGCTTAAGAGGGTAGAAATCTCTGACCCCACTGTCCGTGAATCATATTCACGCACTGGGAGCCTCTGGTGGGGAACACCTTGTATTCTGTCTTCCTGTTGTGTGCTGTACTTGAGGACAGGAGACGGGAGCAGCATAGAGCGCATGTTGCAAGGAGCTTGTGCTGAGAGCCCAACATTTCCCTCACGCTATCCTCTTCCCAAAAGCCACAAAGCATGAATCCCAAAGACCCGCCTTCCCCCAGTTTTCTCCCCAAGAGACCACCTCAAGGAAGTGTGTACCTATCTTTTCACACATGAATGAGACCTCCTTCTTCCCCGCTTCCCCCCTCCATCAGTCTAGTCTCACCTTCTCCTTCAAACATCTTAGTCACGTCCTCCCACAGGGGCGCCCCCTCCTTGGCCTTCTTTGGATGGTGCAACTTCACCCAGGTGCTGGCCTCCGTGGGCAGGGTGATCAGGAGCTGCTGCAGCATGACGACACCTGCGCGACTGGGCTTGTTCACTTCTGGTGAGGAAACTGTCAGAACCTCTGCTGAGAGACTTCACAGTTGGGTGGTCCTCCTCTGATCACCGTCTCCCGCCCTCAGGACTTTGGTGTGTCCCTGTAGCACCAGAACCTGGGGGCTCCTACAGGCTGGTGTGACTTGAACGACTCTGAGAAACTGACTCCCCTCTTAAATTAAGTACTGCCTCCTTGGGAGGCAGCCGGTTGAGTGGGTTTGAGTGCATGCCTCTATATTCTTCTAGAGGAGCAAAAGGCAGGAGAGGAGGGATCCAGAAGCATCGGTCAGACAGCCAGAACTCCAGAACTTGCAGAAATATATTTAAAACTGCAAAAGATCTAAAAACAAAGATTTGGCATCAATGTGGGAATAAGCATAATCACTATTCTTGGATGTGGCTCATTCTCCTAGTTCCACACACATATACACAAATAGTCAAAGACATGCAAACACCAAAGATACACAAACATGCACAGACCCTGCCTTGACTTCCCTTCTTGTAAGCTGCATGCATCCTCCGTCTGGATAAAGACTTGGGAGTTAAGAGCGCAGGCTTTGAAATCAGACAGCCTGGGTTAGAATCCTGACACTTGCGCTTAAAAACTCTAAAGCATTTCAACTTTCTGAGCTTCAGTTTCTTCATCTATAAAATGGGGATAATAATTGTACTTCATAGGGTTGCAATGTTGATTGAGACTATGTCGGGCATACAGTAAACCCTTAATAAACATTATAAACTTTTTGCTTCAACGCTATATCATAGCATTATCTCAAGTTATTTTTAAAAACAATTAGAGATCTAAATTTAAAGTTCAAGTATCTCAACTGACAGAATAATCATACAGCTGCATTTTCACATGGGCAAGCACACATCACCACCTGCGCAGATGCCCAGCAGCTGGCAAGTCCTTCTGACCTCTCTGTTAAGACGCATCCTGGTTTCAGAAATGTTAAAATTGGAGGAGGGGGTATGTTTTCAAATGGAGGAGATATAGTACTTCGTGTATAATGAGGACTACTGCAGAACTGTTTGTATCAGGCAAATTCGGAAACAACCCAAATCCATCAACTCATCCAACCCCCTGGTATCTGAGCAGGTGCCTCCACAGCGACCAGGTCCAGTGTATCTGGGGCCCCAAGAATAGTCCTACTCCGTGGAAAGGGAGCCAGCCCAACTTTTTGAAGTTTGTGAGGAAAGGTATGTGGCTTATGGGCTTTTTTTTTTTCCAGCTATGACTGATGCAGAGAAAGGAGCTGCATCCTACAGGCTGGAACACGTGGAAAATATCCTGCCTCTGAATATATAAAAAGTAAATGTCTTGTTACCAAAGTGGAGAAACTTTCAAATCTTACTTCTGAAATGGTTAATGCCCAAGAAGGTTCACTTCGAAGATGCCCCTTCTTTTGCTCCCAGCCATGCCTCCCTCGGACTTAGAGACTGCAGACACAGACATCGCAGCCTCCTACTCACCAGATCCGCCTCGGACGCTGGTAGGACCAGAGATGGGGGCGTGAGAGCGCCCGCTCCTGAGGCTTTCAGCTCCAGACGGTGTCTCTTTCGAGAAGTGGGTGGTAACTGATTTTGTTCTTTCCTAGCCTTTCATAGACAGACCACATCGCCCACTCAACACAATGATTCTTCAAAAAACGCCCAGCGTTCACATAGGCTTCCTTCGGGAGCCCAGAGGACCCTCAGCCTCAGAACTGACGTGGGTCTTTTCCAAATTCCCAACGAGGCGGCCTAGGGCGGGTGCAGCTGCACCAGATCAACGCACCCACCCTCCAAGGCGGCCTTTCCCACCAGCACCCCCAGGAATGGAGCTCTGGGGGCCGCAATGGGAGGGATGCCCTGACCTGGCTTCCCGCAGAGCCAGGCGAGGAAACACCCCGCCGGCGGCTGCTGTAACACCGAGGCCGGCGGCGGCCAGGTCCACCCCGGGGCCCCGCCTCTTGGGCCACAGCCCGCCGTCTCCGGGCGCTTCTGTCCTCCCGACGCGCCCTGTCCGTGGCTCACGCCGCAGGTCGCCCTCGCACCGGCCCGGGTGGGCCTCCGGGTGCGGCCCACCCACGCGGTTGCGCTGCTCCCCAGCCCGGCGCCCTCGCGTCTTCCGGCGGGCTCCACACCCCCGCCGCCCGCTCCACCCACGAGGGGCCGCCGGAGCCCGCCTTCTCCGGGGGATGCAGGGCGCTACCGAAAACCCGGAACCGGAGGTGGCGGAGCGCGCCCCCGGGCACGCGCACCCCCCGGGCTGCCCAGACTCAGCGGGCAGCGGCCACCCGGGCAGATGGCCCTGTTTCCTGACAGTGGTCCCGAGAGACCACGTGGCCGGGCAGCTCTTCCGGTGGGGAAGCCCCTTCTCTGTCATTCATTCATTCATTCGACAACTATCTTCTGAGTGCCTACATCTGCACGCATTGTTACAGGCTCTGAGGATACAGCAGTGATCAAAACGCAGTCCCTGCTTTCTGGGATCTTAATTCCAGCGAAAGTAAATACTAGATGATTATAAATAGAAAATTAAATAGGTAATACCCCAGGTGATGGTAAGGGCTACGGGGAAAAGGGAAGCAGCCTGTGGAGATGGGAACAGAGGATGACTGGAGTTCCTCTCTGTGATAATAGTAGGCTAGGATATTTATATCAACCCATTTCAGAAAACAACAATGAAATTTAAAAATAAAAGTCAGGAATATATATTTTTAATGTTCTCAAAGGAGTGTATTAGTTTGCTAGGGCTGCCATAACAATATACCACAGACTGGGTGGCTTAAACAACAGAAATTAATATTCTCACAGTTCTGGAGGCTAGAAGTCCAGGATCCAGGTCTCAGCAGGGTTGGTTTCCTCTGAGGCCTTTCTCCTTGGCTTGCAAATGGCCGCCTTTTCCCTATGTTCTCATGTGGTTTTGCCTGTGTGTGCTTGCACGTGCCTGGTGTCTGTGTGTCCAAATTTCCTCTTCTTATAAGGTCAGATTGGATTAGAGCATACCCTAATGCCTCATTTTAACTTAATCACCTCTTTAAAGTGACTTGTTTGTGAAAATTAATAAACAGAAATCTCATTTAAAATGGAGTCAGGAGGCCAGAAGAGGGAGCTCTCATGCCCTGCTACACCCCAGAGCCCAACAGAAAGATGTCCTTTTCTCGTCTGGCAAGAGCTCAGCCAATGAGAGACTGTCACACTCAGCCAGTGAAAAGCTGCTACACTTCCAAATTCCAGTCTCCTCCAATGGACTCTTCCTTTACAATAGCCCTCCCAACTTCCTCTTCCCCTTTATAGACGTTTCTCCTCCTCTTGCTTCTCAGAACTTGCAGTGGCTCCCCATACTTTGCAGATCTTGAGTTGCAATTCTTTGTTGATCCCAAACAAACCCATTTTTGCTGGAGAAATAACTGGCTGCATATTTGTTTAAGGTTAACAAGTTTAATCGGTTAAATATGTGATTAAATACAATCACATCCTGAAGTACTAGGGGTTAGGGTTTTGACATATGAATTTGGGGGTGAAGGGACTGGACACAATTCAGCCATAACAAGGTGTCTAAGAGATGGCAGGATAGTAGGGAATTAGCAGACCAAACACTAGAAAGCCAGGATCCAAGATGGTAATCCAACTTGGAAGGAACTTTTGCCCTGAGGGCATTTACCTAGCTGGAAAATGATAATCTTCCTTTTGCACTTCAAAAAGAAAAAATAAATAAATCACAATGTGTGGGGAGTGAAATAGAAGACCCTCTGTACAATAATTGGGACTCCAAAGGGCTACAACCTCAGGATGAGGATGAATTGGAAGTGGAACAGCTTCAGAGGAATTTACAGGCTGGGATCCAGTTGCCTGTCTCAAGTCTTGATCTTAGTTTAAGGTGTCCTCTGACTGTGATGCCACCAGATGCCTGGCAAAAGCAAATACAAATCCTCTCTGGAGAAAAGCATTATAATGTAGGCCTTAAGTTGTTCCTACCCATAAGTTTTCATAGAAGTATTAAGTACAGGGGCCAGCCCGGTGGCACAAGCGGTTAAGTGCGCGCGCTCCGCTATGGCAGCCCGGGGTTCGCCAGTTCGGATTCCAGGCGCCGACCGATGCACTGCTTGGCAAGCCATGCTGTGGCGGCGTCCCATATAAAGTGGAGGAAGATGGGTACAGATGTTAGCCCAGGGCCAGCCTTCCTCAGCAAAAAAAGAGGAGGATTGGCAGATGTTAGCACCTGGCTGATCTCCTCAAAAAAAAAAAAAAAGAAATATTAAGTACAGAATTAAAGATAACCAGGTACACATGGAAACCAGACTCTTTTAGTGAGTATTTCAGCAAAAACAAACAACAGAAATAGACCTGTGATGGTAAGTGCTTTTAGGAATTATCAGATGCAAACTGTAAAACAATTTAAGTTTTTTTGTTCAAAGAAATAAAAGATAACTCAGATAGCTTTGGCAGGTGCCTGGGAACTATAAAGAGTGATAGAACATTGGGCCGGCCCTGTGGCTTGGTGGTTAAGTGCGCGCGCCGCAATGCTGGTGGCCCAGGTTCGGATCCCGGGTGCGCATCGAGGCACCACTTCTCCGTCCATCCTGAGGCCGAGTCCCACATACAGCAACTAGAAGGATGTTCAGCTATGACATACAACTATCTACTGGGGCTTTGGGGGGAAAAAAAAAAAAAAGAGTGATAGAACAGATATAAAAAAGAACTAAATAGAAATTATATGACTGAGAAATACAGTAACAAAATTAAGAATTCAGTGGATGCATATAACAGCAGATTAGACATAGCTGAATAAAAAATAAATGAAATGGAAAGTAGGTCAGAAAAGATTACCTAGAATGAAGCATTAAGAAACAAAAGGATGGAATATAATGAAGAGAGGATAAGAGACATAGCCGATACAGTGAGAAGATCTAGCATAAGTTTAAGAGAGAAGCTAGGGCAGTGACAGTATTTGAAGAGATAATGGCTGAATATTTTTCAGTACCTATGAAAGCAACCAGACCATAGATTTAAGAAGCCAAATAACTCTTTAATGGGATAAATAAGAAGAAATCCACACCCAGACAAATCGCAGTGAAACTTCAAAAAACTAAAGACAGAAAGAAAATCTTAAAAGTTGTTGTGGTGGCTTTAAAATATGCCCACGCCTTCCTCCAATAGGTGGAGACTAATTTCTTTCCTCTTAAATGTGAGGCAGACTCACTTCTGAAGAATAGAATGTGGTGGAATTGATAGTATGTGATTTCAGAAGCTAAGTCATAAAAGACATTGCCACTCCTGCCTTGAATACTCTTTAATTTCTTGCTCTGAGGAAAGCCAGCTGAATAACTAGCATCAATTTGCCAGCCATGTGAGTGAGCCATCTTGGAAGCATATCATCTAGCCCCAGTCAGGCCTTCAGATGACTCCAACCTTGGCCATCTTGACTGCAACCTCATATTGACTGCATCTTGAGCCAGAACCTCCCATCTAAGCAGCTTCTGAATTATTGACTCATGAAAAATGTAAGATTAAAAAATGTTTCTTTTTTAGGCCATTAAGTTTTGGAGTTATTTGTTATGCAGCAATCACTAACTAATAACAGTGGGAAAATTTGATAACTAACACAAGTGGCATTATAACAGCTAATTTATCATCAGCAATACTGGAAGTCAGAAGACAGTGCAATGAAATCTTCAATGTGTTGTGAGGAAATAGTTGACAACCCAGAATTCAATGCAAAGTAAAAAAAAAAAATCCTTCAAGAATAAAGGCAAAATAAAGACATTTTCAAACAAACAAAAGCTAAGAGAGTTTGTCAACAGACTACCTTAAAAGTAATTCTCAATGTTGAACTTCAGGCAGAAAGAAAATGATTCCAGATGAAAGTTACAAAGATGCAAAAAAGGAAAGAAGTACAAAGAAAGCAGAAAAATGTGACTAAATCTAGATGAGCATTAATGATATAGACTAAAAATCTTAATAATTTGTGAGGTTTAAAAAAATAGAATTAAAATACCCAAGAACAATAGCATATAAGGTCAGGAGGCGGATGAATGGAGCTAAAAGTATTCCAAGTTAAAGTGTTATTAATGTGCTCTAAGGACTATCAGAGGAGAACAGAGGTCTTCATTAATATTAAACTTTGATAAGTAAAAAATGATATATATTGTTAGCTGGAAGACATATTACTGAATATGAAGACCTGTTATAAAGTTATAGTAATTAAGACAAAGAGGTAGGTATTGATGCAAGAATAGATAAACTGAACAATGGAACAGAATAAAGAGTTCAGATCCAGACACCCACATAGACCATCACCTGATTTATGACAAGGGTGGGGAAAAGAAGGTGTTTTAAATAAATTGGTGCTGGATCAATCGGATATTCATTTTGATCCCTACTTTACAACCTACACAAAAATCAATCAGATGGCTTGCGGATCTAAATGTAATAAGTAAAACAATAAAACTTTTAAGAAGAAAGTAGAAGAATGTTTTTATGACTTTGAAATAGGCATAGATTTATTACATTGAATACAATGTGCTAAACATAAAGGGAAAAATGATAACCCAGATTAAAATTAAGGATCAGGCATTTCAGTCACTTCTGGTGAAGGTATAAATTGGTGCAACTATTATTCAGCAGTTATCTGCTAAAGTTGAACATTATGACCCAGCAAACCCATCCCTAGGTATATACCCAACAGAAATGCATATATATGTTCACCAAAAGACATATAATAAAATGTTCATAGCACACTCTTTATATTAGCCCCAGATTGGAAACTACCCAAATGCCCATCAACAGTGGAATGGGTAATTATTGCTATATCACACAATGGAGTACACACAGCAATGAAAATAAACAAAACAAAGCAAAAAGAAACAGCCTATAACTACGGACAATGATATAGATGAATCTCACA